GCCAGGTGTCATATCTCTGGGTGTTAAATCAGCGCTGGCTCTGCCTGTGGGCGCTGCTGGAGTCAGGCGGGGACTGAGGGTTTCAAGCGCCTCTAGCCTCTGGTAAAAAAATTTTCAGATACCTCAGGGCATCGTTGTTTCTAGACAGCTATAAGCAGATGGGGCCCCGCAGGAGCAGCTGGGCTGTCGGGCATCAGACAGCTGCTCCCTGGGTGGTTTTTGTTCAGGCCTGTATCACTGTGGGAGGGTAACCATAACTATACTGACAGTAGTAAGTGGCGGCATCCTCAGGCTCCAGGCTGCTGATGGTGAGCGTGTAGTCTGTCCCGGACCCGCTGCCACTGAAGCGGGCTGGGATGCCATTGGGCCTGCTGGATGCAGCATAGATGAGGCGCCTGGGAGCCTGCCCAGGTTTCTGCTGGTACCAGGCTAAGTAGCTATAAATATTCTGACTGGCCCTGCAGGAGATCGTGGCCTTTTCTCCTGGAGACAATGATAGGGAGGCTGGAGTCTGTGTCATCACAATTTCTCCAGAGGAACCTGAAGTAGGGAACAAAACACAAAAATCTTCCTTGTAATCTCTACCTGCACTGTCTCCCCAGCACAGCCAGGAAGGCTGATCATCACTGAGCTCCCATTATTGTCTCGCTGAACAATGAGCCAGGTCCTGGGAATCCACCACCCAAAGTGTCCTCTGAGGGCAGCACCTTCCCGGGTCCCTCACCTGGGAGCCACAGCAGTAGGAGGCAGAGAAGCTGCGCTGGGGCTTCCATGGTGCCTGTGTCCTGGCTGAGGCAGCTCTTGCCCAGAGCCTGCCCAGCCTGATATGGGCCTGGGCAGCAGGGGGCTGGGGGCATGCAAAGCAGGGGTGGGCACCCTGGCCTCCAGCTGCAGAGACCAGAGGCCTCATGTTCTCTGCGCTTGAGCAGCCACTGGCACATAACAACCCAGAACATAGGAGTTGTCTGGTCCAGGTCTGAATGAAATAAAGCTTTTCTTCCCATTTCTGACAATCTATGTACATCTCCCTTAGTGCTTGATTGGGTGGTTAAAGTGAGGAGTTTATCAACAATGATCGTCCTGACACCCCTTGCCTCTGCTCAACAGTGACCTTTGCTGAGGGTCCTCAATTTGCCTTATTCCTTCAGGATCCATAAAGACACAGACAGTGATTTAGATTCAGTGACGTGGGTGCAGGGACAGTCACCCTCACACAATGAGCGGAACCAGGCTCTGACCCCAGTGTATTGCCACCATTTCCCTGGAGACAGGGGTTTTACTGACAGGTGGGTAGGTGGGTGTATTCCTGTGGTCCTCTCATTCCTCACTGTCCATTCTGGGTGGAGAATCTCTCACCCCCATATGCTAGATATATGTTGTCTGCACTGTGTTCAGGGGACCCACATATTTCAGCATCCCTGACCTAAAGAACCCTTCCTTTACATAGATCAGACCAACTGTTTTCCGTTCTGAGCAAACTGTCAGTGTCATGTCCATGACAGCCACAACTGGGTGTTTGAGACACAGGAGCAGGGATGTGCTGACAGAGCCCTGGAAGGGCGGGGTGTCCTGAGGAGACCTGGGTGGGGGGGGGAGGTCTGTGGGGCACTGGGGTGGAGCTGCTGGGTGGTCACAGTCCGTCTGCCCCTCCTGGCTCCCCCCTGGTGCTCTCCCCTGCTGCTTCAGGATCGCCGACTCCCGCAGAGGCCACCTCACGCCAGGGTCTCCCAGGACGCAGTTGTGCTGCAGTCACCTGCTGGGAACTGCGAGGGGAAGGCAGGGACAGAGAGTTGGGGAGAAATGTCAGACCCCTGTTGGGGCTGAGGCCTGAGGAGCGGGTGGGTTTCACAGCTACGAGCAGGATACATATATAACATGAAGGGGGGATGCGACCAGCAGCCTCTCCCTGGAGACTGTCAGACATGTGAGAGCTGAGGCGTTATCCATCCTGGTCAAGCAGAGTGAACCCTTTTTTTTGTTTTTTAATCCAAAGCTACTTCACATTAAAGACAGGTCACTGTGACCACAAACATGAAGCTGAGTCTTGTGTTGCTTATTTCATTGTCGTATAAATAGGTCTTTGTCTGTTAGAGCTAATTTGGATTTCTGTTAGGGTCTGGGTCTAGGTTTCTTTCCATCCTCTGTCTCTGTCTCCTTCTCTCCTCCCTCCCACGTTTCCATTTTCCTTTCTTCTTTTCCTTGTTCTTGCATGTGGATGTCCTGAGTTTCCAGAACTATTTGCTAAGAAATCATCTTTGCCCACTTTTTCTTTGTCAAGATAAGTTGGTTCCACTGTCCATGTGAGGTCAATTTCTGAGCCAGATCGCTCTGTTATTTCTTCAGCACCTTGCTGACTTCATGATTATGCTGTAACGTGAGTGTTAGAACTGGTGTCTGCGCCCAGTTGTGATATAGTCTCCCTCTTGGACATTCCTCATGTTTCAAAACCCCAAGTAGTTATCAAGGTATTTTATCATCATTTTTTAGAATCATATTTAGAATCATATTTTTCATGTTTTATTCTTTGGAACAAGTGTTACCTAGTTTAATTTCCTGTTAAATAGACAGTAAATGTGGGAGTGTCGTTAAAACAATTGTCTTTCAGTAAAATTTTTCTTAAATGCCTTTAACGATAAAGATGCTTTTTTGGCTGTAATAAGCTTCCCCCAAATACATCATATGATACTGATCACATGTGTCTTGTTAGAAAGCAGATTCCCACTAGTAAGTGGCGGTTGCGTCAGTAATTTCAAATTGTACCAAACAGGTGGTCAATGACGATGTTGATCAATTCTGAACAAATTTTGAGCAGCTTGGTATTTTCACAGTGAGAGCAGATATTCACCCTCCACATTTAGTTATTTTTCTACGAAGAACATGTTTTCATTCACTGTCAAATGATTATTCTGTATTTCCCACAATACCTGATTCTCTGTTTCCAATGGGCTAAATGTTTGTTTGCTTCTATGAGCCACCTTGCCGATGGAAGATGGGGACACACACAGGGGTGTCTGGGAGCTACGCCCTGACTGCAGTTACTCTGGTATTGGGAACAGCAGTTTGCTGTGCTGCCTGTTGTCAAGCCCTCACCTCACAGAGAAACACATTTCCAGATCTTCATGCCTCTGTGATTGTCCTGGGAGGGGTGTTAGTGACAGGCCTCCCATGAGACTGAGTCAGGAAAGGGGAGCCACTGTGTGCCAGAAGCTCCTAGAGACAGACCTGTACAGAGGACAGAACAGGGGCCCTGGTGAGCTCATCCCGGAGGCTGAGGGCAGCAGCAGCCGCACCCCTGGACTTCCAGGGCGACTAGAAAGGTCAGAGGCCCATGAGGTAAGCCAGGCTGCATGGCTGTGACAGCGGAGCTCTTGGGAGCTAGAAGCTCACTCATTTCTACCATCTGTATCTCTTGGTCTCACAGTCCTAAAACTGTGAAACATTAGAGTTTACATTCCAAGTGCCTGTTGTGAGAGTTAAATCCTTACCAGGACTGCCTGGCGGGGCTTCTCCCCTTCTTTGTGAGTCCTAAGAACCATGACCAGGTTCCCGGGTGTCATCTTTTTTGTGTGTCTAAAATAGCGTAGGCTCTGCCTGTGATGTGACAGGGCCAATGAGGTAGAGACTGTGGATTTCAAAGTGCCCCTTGCCATTCACCAGGACGTTAGAGTGATTTGCAGAGCATTGCTGCTTCTGCGGCAGGCTGTCAGCTGATGGGGCAACAGGAGGAGCAGCTGGGCTGTCAGGCTTCGCTCATCTGGTCACTGGGTAGTTTTTGTTCAGGTCTGTGTCACTGTGGGAGACCAAGTACTCCACTGCTGACAGTAGTAAGTGGCGGCATCCTCAGGCTCCAGGCTGCTGATGGTGAGCGTGAAGTCTGTCCCAGACCCGCTGCCGCTGAAGCGGGCTGGGATGCCATTGAGCCTGTTGGATGCATCATAGATGAGGAGCCTGGGAGTCTGCCCAGGTTTTTGCTGGTACCAGGCCATGTAACTGCTAACACTCTGACTGGCCCTGCAGGAGATCGTGGCCTTTTCTCCTGGAGACAATGATAGTGAGGCTGGAGACTGTGTCAGGACAATTTCTCCAGAGGAGCCTGAAATTGGAAATAAAACACATAAGTCACCATTATGATCTCTATTCTCACCACTGCCTTCTCAGAACAGCCAGGAAGGCTGATCAGCACTGAGCTGCCATTACTGTCTCACTGAGCAATGAGCCAGGGCCCAGGAATCCACCACCCAACGTGTCCTCTGAGGGCAGCACCCTCCGGGTCCCTCACCAGGGAGCCAGAACAGCAGGAGGCAGAGAAGCTGCGCTGGGGCTTCCATGGTGCCCTGTGTCCTGGCTGAGGCAGCTCTTGCCCAGAGCCTGCCCAGCCTGATATGGGCCCTGGGCAGCAGGGGGCTGGGGGCATGCAAAGCAGGGGTGGGCACCCTGGCCTGCAGCTGCAGAGACCAGAGGCCTCATGTTCTCTGCACTTGAGCAGCCACCCGCACGTCATAACCCAGTCACACAGGGGGTGTCTGGTCCAGGTGTGTTTTAAAAAAATGGCTTTTGTCCATTCTCACTTTGTTCCCAATATGACTGCACATCCCCCTTGGTGCATAAATGGGTGGCTTGGATTGAGGAATTTATCGCAATGATCTTCCTGTCACCCCTTTCCACTGATCTAGAGTGACCTTCCCTGACTTCCTTCTATTTCCTCCATTTTTGTAGGATCATAAAGACACAAATAGTGATTTGGTTTAGGGACAGTCACCATCGCACAGATGAGCAGGACCAGCTCGTAGCCCCTCAGTGTGTCGACTGAAACCATTTCCCTGAAGAGAGGGGTGTTCTGAGAGCAGGTTGCTGCGGTGTCCTGCCCTTCACACAGTCCCCTCCTGCCTGGATCCTCTGTCTCACAGACAAAGCTCCATTCTCTTCACAAAGTCTTTCCCCCATATGCTAGATATATGTTGCCTTCAGTGTCCATGGTGATCCAAACACTTCAGCCTCACTGACCTGTAAACCCTTCCATTAGGATGGATCTTGTGATGAGCACTATTGGTCCATGACTATCGAACCTGGTGTTTGAGATCCAGGCTGCAAAGACGTACTGAGACAAAGTACTGCGACAAAGTACTGCAAAAGCAGGGGTGTGCTGAGGATATCAGGTTGGCTGTGTGGGCGATGGGGTACAAATTCCTGGGTAGTCTTGTTCGTCCGGGTACTCATACCCCACCTGGTGCTGTGCTGTGATGCTCCAGGATCTCTGACTCCTACGGAGAGTTAATTTTATTGACAGTATCTTTCAGGACACAGTTCTCCTCTGAGTTATCTACTCAGTGAAGTTGAAGTAAAGGGAAGGGTTAGAGATATGCGAAGAAATGTTGGATTCTCAGGTCGTGTTAAAGCCACGGGACACATCCTGGCAGCAGGTAGGGCTCAGCCTTCCATCACAGGGCAGGTTTGCTCACACCCAGCACACAGGGCTCCCCATGGTCCCCATCTCCAAAGATCCATCCAACACGAGGGACCCCCTGTGATACCTGGACAGCCCCCTGGCCTGCCTCAGCCTGAGTCTCCCGCTACTGTGGGCTTTGCTGCCCTCTAGTGGCCGATCTGGGATACAGGACTTGCAGGTAGTCTTAGACATTCTTGCCTGGGTAGACTTTACCTTTTTTTCAGAAGGTGAGACAACTATAGACTATTCCCAGGGAAGTCTCTGTAGGGCCTTAAAATGAGTCTTTTCCTCAATATGCATGAAACCTAGGTGGGAACAAAGACTAACCTGGGACCGGTCTTCAGACTGGATATTCGTCACAGTGAAGGACCAGGTGCTGGATCCACTGAGTGAGACGCCAAAGTGCTGGTTAGGGATAAGGCTTGGGCAGGAGGGAGCAGAGGGAGAATGGCCGGCATGGGAGGGAAGCAGAGGGCTCCCGGTCTAGATCTGTCAACCCAGCCTCTTGCCTCTTTCTTGGTAGCCCAGTGATCCCCCACAGATGCCAAAGTAGGGAGACATCCAGAATAAACAAAGGTGAGGTTTGCATGTGACCTGTAAACCATGGGTTTCCAGGTGTAATATGTGTCCCTTACTGAAAAATAGAACTTTCTCTGAACATGCGAATGTCACTTTGTACCATCCATTATGGTAACATTAGGCTATTAACCATGCAAAATATTTATAATGCATCGACAAAAAAGTCTTTATTTTTTTTTAAGATTTATTTATTTGTACACTCAGAACTGGGGTACAGGCCACAGGCTCAGGGGCGGCGACAGGCTTCACCAGAGACAGAGCGGGTAGCAGAACAGGCAGATCGACGAAGTACACTGCTGAGGGGAGCAGCCAGCGGGTCAGGAGAGGTCTGCCGCACCATGTGGTCAACTCAAGGGGCTGGGGCAGGCGGGAATCGAACTCATGCGGAAATGGGTTTAGCTTCTCAGAACTGTGCTTTAACCCGCTGCACCAGGAAGGGCCAAAAGGTCTTTAATTTTTAAGTAAGTAGAATAAAATTTTTACCCTGTATATTTATTATTGAACTGGTGAATTTTACCGGCATTTTATCCCAGTATACATATACTTTTATTTACCGGAGAGACAGTGCAGCTGAGGACACCTTGCATCTCATATAGAGAGTCAGAGTTGGGGTGAACAGAGTGATTTTTTGCGTGCTGTAGACTACAGCCTACAAACTGCATCAGCCAAGAAGTGCTTTACTCAAGGCTAGGGACACACAGAGGACTTTCCCCTCACTGATACCTTTTAGATTACACCTGCTGTCCCACAAGAGAACTGAGGAATGCCAGCAGGGGGCGCGCTTCCCTGCAAGTGGTTTTTGTGATCCCTGATCTGCCAACTCTGAGCTTATCTTGTCTAAGTAACTGCACACTGTCTCTCCATTTGTGGCTAACAGTACCTAGGTTACTTCTATGGGACGGTTGCTAAGCCTCTGATGATGCCGAGTGTTTGAAAATATGACCTGTTGCGACCGCTTCCCTGTGAACTTTGCCGTGAGGACAGACCCAGGAGCCCACACAGGTCCCCGGGAATCCAGTGGCGCTGCTCAGCTTCTCCCTGGGTTCACACCGACACCCCGACCTCATCACCTTCCACACTCAGCCACAGGTTAACTGTAAACAATTTGTGTCTGGTTGGCGACTCTGCCTGCTGTCTTCACATCCCTCTGTCCTCTCCTAGTAGGTTTGAATCCTCATCTTCGGTAAAAAGAAAGAAAATCAGACTCATAAGATACCGCTGTTGTCCACAGGTATGTGGGCTTAGGTGTTTGGGGTTTCAGGAACCCCCTCTCCTTCCTCAGAGCCGTGTCACACAGAGAGGCTTGCAGCATCCTGAAACGTGAATATCAATTCTCAGTCAGCGCTCTGAGGCCAGCACGGCCACCCACTGTCTCAGGGAGTCATCGGCAGGGGAGGGGAGGGAAATGGACTAGGAAGTTGGGGCAGAGGGTGCCCAGATATTGTCCTCCGGAGAATATGTCAAGATGGCTCATCCTGACAGATCCAGGGCACAGCACATTCCTCAGCACTCACAAGAAATGAGTTCACAGCTCATGAAGGACGCGTGGGAATCTTCCTTCTCTGGAAGACGCCAGTCTGAGAAGGCCACTCACCACGTGATGATCTGAGGGACCTTCAGGGAAAGGTACTTATGGGACAGTATTGACACTAGTGATGTCAGGGCTAAGGGGGTTCCCAGGTGCAGCGGGAGGAACCTGAGGGCAGGAGACTGCCTGTGGGGCACTGAGGGTGGACACTCGCCACTGTCAGTTTGTCCAAAACTCCAGAGTACACACCCCCAAGTGTGAGCTCTCTTCTAACCTATGGATTTGGGGTTCATCATCCTATGTTCTCTCTGAGGAACGAAAAGTAGAATAAAAAGGAGACTCTTTCTGTGGAGGAGGTATGGTAGGAATTCTTATTCTTGTTATGGGAATCTATTTATGCTCCAAAATAGTGTTTACTAAGAAAGTCTTGGCTTTAACTGTCTCCTGTGTTGTTCCTGCCTGATGTCATCACCAGCTAACTCCACTGTAATCATGTCTGTTATCACTAAATCAGCAGAGTCGTGATTAGGTCTCTATGATAGAATGAGGGAGAGAGTTGAGCTATCGAGAATCCTCATGCTCCTCCTAGACCTTGAAGTCTTCAATGTGATTGTCTCCGAGAAGAGTTCTAGCAGCTACAGCACCACAAGGAGCAGTGGAGGCTCCCAGGCCACACGTCAGCTCCCTGGTGGCTTTTGTTCAGGCCTGTGTCACTGTGGAGGGCGCTGTCATACCACTGACAGGAATCACTGGTGGAATACATTAGCCTGGTGCCAGGTTTAGTATCTCTGGGTGTTAAATCAGCACTGGCTCTGCCTTTGGGTGCTGCTGGAGTCAGGAGGGGACTGAGGGTTTCAAGAGCCTCTAGCCTCTGGTAAAAAAATTTGCAGAGGCCCTCCCTGGTGGCGCAGCGGGTTAAAGCACAGCATTGAGAATCTGAAGCCACTTCCGCATGAGTTCGATTCC